TTAAGTGACTTTTAAAGGGTCAATTGAAGAGAACTGAAAAGCGAACAGATCGAAATATATCATAAATCTCGTCACAGTTTCGAAATTAAAATTTCTTCGCCCCTTTCGATTTGTTCAAAATGACGATCAGTTGGTATAAAAAGGCCATATTTTTGTAGACTACTTTGTTTTGTGCTAACTTTAACATGAAATGCAATAAAACCCGCCTCAAACACAAACGCGCTGGTAGTCCACAGCAGTAAACAGAAAATCGCCTCTCTGATGTAGGAATTACATAAAACTGGTGCATCTGCGTCCATTGTTGAGCAGTAATTTTGCAGCATTGACACCTTTTTACAAGTACGTCCGCTGCCGACAAAGCTTCTGCGAGAACAATAACATCAAGTCTCTGCTTTAATTCAACAAAGAAGATCCGGGCCTAAAAAGTGTAGATGTTTAATCTGTTTAGCTAAGTTTTCACTGAAGGACATGTAAAGGAGAAAAACAGGCAAACATATTGTTGATTGATGCAAGTTGAAAAAGGCAAATGACACAAAGTGTAAGTCAACATTTTCTTTTCAAAGATGTAGGACAATGGGTAATGGTATACACCGTATTGAGCTTATGCTATTTCGTCTGTAATGGAGAATAAATCGCGAGAGTTTTAGTTAGAACAAACCTCGTCAACAAAGGCAACGACAGGATCGCAAACGGACAGTACGTTAGTTGTTAACTTATTAATAACGTGAATGATCAAATTCTGGCTTTCATAGAGGACACAAACGTGAACCACAAATTTTTCCTCGCAGAATAAATCATTGCTCTTTCAAACAAGATGCTTCACGCATCGAGAGGCAAACGGAAAGCACTCATCTGAGATGCTCAAACTTAAACTTTTAGTTAAAATCGATCGAATGAAACATTGTTATGTACTTTCCAAGTAGCAACTGATTCAACAAAAATAATCTAAGTTCCCTGATAGTTTTCTGTCCACGATTTAAAATAAGAGAACTGTTTTGGACATAAGAGCGAGAACCACACCTCAATCAAAACGATCCAGTGTGAACCAAATGTTCTGATGATGTCCTTTTTTCCTTTTTCGAAATTACTTTTGGCAATTACTACTACTACAAACCGTTAAAACTATAAAACTATATATTTTCCCCCTGTTTTAAATTTTTCTTACACTGGATGGTAAATTAAAATGTTATGCCTTTTGTTTGTCTATTTGTCAGCTTATCTCTGTGCTATCGTAAAAGTAGAAACTGTCGCTTCCTGCTTATGTCAATCTGGGTCCTTGAGTTAATTTCATCTGCTCTCATTGGTTGAATTTATTGTTCCATAATTACATGTAATAACAGTATTTGCCTTGCTTGATTTAAACAGTTTGAAACATCTTTGGGGACCTAAGAAGTATATCTGTAATACGCAAGCAAAGGAGAATTCATGAAGATGGTGAGGTAAGTTATACCACAGTTTCAGAAATCAGTGAAATACATTGGGAAAAACGCTCATGATTCGGAAAACATGTCCGTACAGCTATTCTTTTTTTAATTAGGCTTGGGAATTTTGAAGGTATTTGTTTTTACTGCAATTTGAGTGAGTGTTTACTCCGATTTCAACAATGGATAGCTCACGCATTCAGGCATTGTGTGATTTTTTTCCGGGCAAGAAGGACTTCACCGTCCTCCCTCTTCCAAGTCCGAAGGTGCCCGTATGCTTATGAAAGCTTCAACGGGATTACTGCAAATTTTACTCTGAATATTCCGATTTGGCTATCTTTTTTTGCCACGTGAAAAGATAGATATTATAACGATGAAAAAAGAAACTGGCCTACACAGCTAACTCCAAGCATAAGCAACATACACATAGGAAATTGTCCTAACAAAAGGCGCGCAAATTAGAAACATCTTACTGCGTCTGCGTGTGTCAGCTTATATTTCTGCTTATGCGCTAGTGAAAACAAACCTTGATGGAGAGATAGGAAAAAATCCTTAGCCTATGACATACTCATTGTAACTGACTATAAATGTGAACACGTTAATTCTTTATTTTAAAAAAATAGAATTCAAATCATCCGTTTGAATTAACCATAAAACGTCTCGACCAATTCGCTCCTCGAGTCCAAGCTCCTTACAACCTTAGTCCGACGAAACGAGTGACTTTCGTACAAACATGGCATTGCAGGATCGATTTTGATTGGTTTTAAGAACAAAAGATACCCGAAATTAAAACATCAAGGGGCTCAGCGATTAAACTACATTTTTAACTAGGCATGGTTATTCAACCGAAAGTCTAGTTTCCATGGTCGCTCCTTATCAAAAGGAACGACGTCTCTGGGCAGGAGAATGCTTGTCACATGTTAATTTTGTTAAATTCCCAGATAGAGCTTTGGTGGGATACAAACTAGACACGTAAGTATATATATATGAAAATGAGGGTTTAGTTTTGGGAATTATTGCTTTTTATATCATAGTTGTAGAGGGGAATGACTGGGCACAGAACTTATTTGTTGTTTACTACTGACTGAGGGACTAATCAGTGGTTCGTTTGATGTTTGCCGAACTTCATTTCCCTCTATTAACTATGCTTATATTGATAAAGAAATGTACTTAATTTAATAAAGTTTTGATAAAAAACACAGTCACTCCAACGAGATTACCATGGAAACGTTAAAGTCGATGAACACCAGAGTTAGAGTCAAATTGTTGAAGTCGATTTTTTTTTCATGCATTGTCCAATTAACCATTTGTTGATGATTTGTTTGTGTATAATACTAAAAACGAATTATAAATTTTTATCCCTGTATCAAGTCTTATGGTTCCTCAATTATCTCCATGTATATCAGTTATATCTAAGAGGTAGTAGAATCAAAATGACTTTCTCGTAACTGTTATTACATTCAGATACTTAGTACAAGATGACATAGAATGTGGAAGACGATGTGTGAGTTATGAGAGATGTATGTCATACAACTACGAGCATAAAGTCAATCACACTAACAGACGCACTTGTGAACTCAACTCACAAACCACAGAAAGCAAGCCACAGGCCTTCAAAGAGAAAGATGGCTTCCAGTTCTATGGATCGTTACATGAACGAAAGGTGTTTGTTTAAGTCTGTTCTTTATATACTAAAATGTCCACAAGAAATATCATCATCACTGATTTCAATAACTCAAAATAGACTTCATGAAACATTTGTGTGGTAAAAATCTGATTCTTATCATGTCTGGCTTTCTATTGTATGCCAAAAACTGTTTCTACAAATTGAAACCACTTTTACATAACAAGGTTATCTTAATTTTAGCTAAGCTTCATACTTGAGCTTCTCAGAATCATGCTAACCTCGCTAACAGAATGAGAAGCTGAACATCCTTGAGTCCTTTAATTTTAATTTCCATTAATTTTAGTTTTAATATTATTTCAATGTTCATTTATTGTGGTAACGAATCGTTGTTATGTAGTAATTGGCGCACGACTCTTAATGGTGAAAGGTGTGGCCCAGCAGGGCAAACAAAGCAGACCGTCTGCATGCAATGGTTATAAAGGGCCAAAAACACTTTTTGATTTTATGAAGCGTTCCATAAAAACAAATTTAAAAGGTCTGATAGGGTTTGCCGGTAACAGACACTCCAAACTAATGTATCTTAGACTGAAATGCATCTTCTGTCTATGTCTACAGACAAGTGTTGGATGTGAAAGGTACAAGTGCTATAACAACGGAAGATGCGTGGGCACATGCCATGGTGACATGTTTTATTGCCAGTGTACTCAGTTATATCGCGGTAAACAATGTGAACGAGCCAAAGGTACGAGGCCTGATGGGTATTGTCTAAAATACGTAACTAAGACGCGTCCTCATCGATCATTAATTGCTGGCGAGGGATCATTCAGTGAAATAAACAGTCATTGCATATGTGGACATAAGACAGACTTGTCTGCTAAAATTTCAGTGGCAGCGATTGGCTTCTTTAGTTTTTTCTTAACGCTAGATGACATTTTCTGGTAGACGAGATTACTGCTTTCCACCTGGAGAGTTTTTTCCACCTTTAAGGCCACGGCGAGAATATATTTTATTATAAATTCCAGTGAACAACCCAAACGTCTGCTAGCTCACTGTACCGACGGACGTTATTAAATAAGCTACCCTATGTTGGTAAACCGGATTTCGGTTTGTCGAGGGATTCAGCCAGACCAGCGTCGTAGGTGCAATATAATAGCTATGCTGAAGATTTTAAACTGATGGAGATGTACTTCTTTTAATTCAGAACACATAAGCTAACCATCGGCTGTATTATTAATTAGGTACAGTGTATGAGAAAAATGAAATTCAAAATACACTCTTTTTTCTTGCCCGAGTCACTAGCAAATGTCGCGTGTTTCAGAATCAATGATGGCCGTATTTACGTAGTCAGATGGATAATTCATCTCAGGCGACTAATGCATTTTAGACGTATTATACTTTTAGGAACATGAGACGCATTCAATGGCACAGGTACTTTCCGGTTTTTGAGTCTAAATTATGCCGCCTAAAACCGACACACTATACGTTTAACACGTAAAATGCGTCAAAGCAAATGTGAGACGTATGAAACAGACGAACTCATAGTAGTATAGGACGCTTATGTGAGCCGTAACCAATCAGAAGGCCGTGCATATCATTAAAAAAGGCTCTCGACCAATCAGAGGGCCGGATTTGCTCATGAATATATTCATGAGTTAGGGGNACTCATCTGAACTGAGAATTCCCTCTACTAAAAGCTGTAGGCAGGCGACCAACAGTCTCTCACGATCGATAGCTTTTTTGTCAATACTTGAAGCTTCTCGTATTTACCAAGACATTAATAGTGAAAAACCTGTCCAGGGACTCTGCGCCAGGGTAAGTCGGGTGGGCGACGTCACAATCCGCCAGGGAGCTGACGTCATCGTGGGTTGGAAAATTCTACCCTACTAAATGTATGACATCATTTTCTATTTGTAAATTTTGATGTCATCGCTTCCGTTGAAGTCAGCCCCCTGAGGGATTTGACGTCACTCACCCGATCCACCCTAGCACAGACGAAATTGATGTTAGACAAAACATGTCTAGCCTTGAGACGCATCACATATTCGTCTTCCCGGTAAATAAATACGGCCAGTGTAAGGAATAAAACGTTATATCACATATACTACCTGCACATACTAGATGTTTTCATTTATGTCTTGAAAAGCTTATTTAATATTTTGATATAAGTTTTGTTTTGAACTCCACAGCTCGCAACTGCAAAGAATTAATTGATTTCGGCCAAACTAGATCCGGAGGCAACCATGTGGCCCCCGATGATAAAGATAATGGATTCTCAGTGTACTGTGACCAAACAACTGATGGTGGAGGGTGGCTTGTATTTCAGAAACGTACCAGTCCGTTCACGACACTTTTTTCAAAGTATTGGAGGGAATACGAGGAAGGCTTCGGTCATTCAATAAACACATTCTGGCTTGGGAATCAATATCTGTCACGGCTCACAAAAACTCCGGTGCAACTGCGAATAGAACTCGTAGATCGAGACGGCTATAAGGGTTATGCTGTTTATAACAACTTCTCTATATCAGGTCCGGAAGACAATTACCGTCTTAACGTCGGGGCGTATGTAGGGGGAAACATCGGTAATGCGCTTCATGGTGACAGCGACAAGGCGTTTGTGGAGGACGGCATGCAGTTTACAACTGTTGACCGAGACAATGATAGAAATGACCTGGGAAACTGTGCTGTCGTGAACGGACCATCAGGCTGGTGGTTAAATAACTGTGGTCGGGCAAATTTGAATCAGGCTTACATTCCTCAGTGGGATGGATGGCTTTATTCCTCGTCAATCATCTCCTCAGAAATGAAAATCCGGTGATGAAACGTGCATGTGGACTTATATAAACGGAGTTGTAGAGTCTTAACTCTTGCTTTCACTTCAAAGCTTTTTGCAATTAGATATCACACCTAAGCGACCTAAGTTAACAACCTAAATCACGTCTAAAAAAAACACTCATTACCTGTCTTTGTGGCAGTTTATAGAAGCACTAAAAATTTCAAACAAACTTTAATTATTTGCGAAACCTTTGGTTGAAAGGAAGAATTCCCAAGAGTATCATCACATGGTCTGAAATGAGGCAACAAACCGCCCAGTCGAAAAAGGTCTATTGGGCCGATACCATTATGATTGGATTGACTGACGGGAGAAGTGCTTTTAGCCTCAGAATATAGACCTTATTGGCACAAAGACGTAGTTTTTATTGAGTATCTTTGCAATATTCTAAATGGTTGGGTGTGGGATCTTCAAATTTGCATTCCATACCAACCCCGTTTAGAACAATTCCTGCTCCTGAAACTGTTACACATGCGCCAGGTTGCCTAAGTTCTCCAAATACTTTATTGTTACGAGTTCCACAGCATTTCGTTAATAAGCTCCACATATGACGTCGAAATGATCTGTCTTGTGTAGCATATATAACGGGGTTTACGGTAGAGTTTATCGATATAAATGCGTACGAGACAACGCGAAACAGTGTCTCCGTAGATCCAATGTTGGTCTGTATTGTCGTCGTGTCATTTATCAGCAGGAACATCTCAAGGAAGTAATAAATGAGGTTAGGAAGCCAAGATATTGCCAGGACCACAGTTATCACTAAGACGGTTTTAGTAACACGTTTCCTCGACCTCAGCAATGTACGCTGGGATACATTAGTTGTGTGGTCACTATTAAACCATAGCCGGCGCACCACGCGACCGTACAGGATGCTCATGACACCTAGTGGAAATAGACCTACGGCAAAAAGCCACATGGTTGCGTCCGCCTTACCAAGCCAGTCAGGAAAGTCAAAAATGCAGGCTGGCTTATTTTCGTCATAACGTATGACAACCGTCTCAGGCAGCAGAAAAACAACTGAAGAAATCCAGATAAAAATAAGGAATTTTCTGAGCCTTCCCTTTGTCATGCGGACTCGAGAGTTGTGTGGATGGATTATGGCGTGGTATCGCTCCCATGCAATAACTAACAATGTTATTATCGCCGCCACTGATGCCATCCAGGAGAGGTTTGCGTGCGTAAATGTCTTGCACAAGAAATCCCCAACCCACCCTCCAGGGTGCCTGAATTCTGTGATGAGTAGTCTCCGTGGAATGAAAAACAGCGCAAATAACATGTCTGCCAAAGCAAGGTTAGCCAGCAGATAATTCATAGGAGTTTGCATTCTCCGATTTCGTAGGACGATCAAGATGACCAGCGTATTGCCAAGAAAGTTAACGATGATCATGAAAGAGAAGACAACTTTAAAGGTGATATCCGCGGTCGATGACATTTTCAAGGCGGACGGCGCTTAGCTAGTCTTAACCATCAAAGAATGTTTGGCTCTCTATGAAGGAACAAGACATCAAATAAGTCTGTGAAAATCTGACGTTAGCTGAAAAGTTGTTTCAGGGAAAGTGAACTTAGAGCAAATCAGTAATGTTAACTCTCAGCTTGATCAATAGGAGTCAACGAACTGAGAACGTAAGCACATTTTTGTGAGCTCGAGAATCATGTTGACTAAATTGATAATAGAAGCTGAATGCATTTTTATGAGCAGATGTATGGAAAATAATCAGATCCGGATAATTTTAGATGATCTTATCTTCGTGAAGGAGAAAAATAACAAGAGAAATGTAAAACAGTAACCAGATTGTTGAAATCCCATGAGAAATTTCGACAATTAGGAACTTCGCATGTGGATCAAGAAATAAATGATAATGAGAATCACCAGACAGGAAAAAACATGTATTTATTAGAAAACCCGCTGAATTGCTCTGAGAACACAGGGGCCTAGCTAGGGGTGTCCTGGGGTGCCCGTGACTCCTCCTTTTGTAAGCGTTTTTTAAGCAACCAACCTACAACAGGTAGCGAAAGCAACATGAAACGACATGACAATCTGGTGAGTACCCTCACTTTGAGACAGTGATTCCCCCTCCCCCCCCCCTGTTACGCCCCTGGTATTGATAAAAGACTTCCATCTGTTTCCTTTGAGATGTTATTTAAGAACACAAAAAGTGCGAGTCTGGAAACATAAGAGCGAATGCTTTCCATTTTGAGATAAACTGGCGCCAAAAATGTTTGTCACTATCATCAGCATGGAGTTTCACTTCTGTTTTGCCGATCGTATTAAATTGATTTTGCAGTGTTTGTATTGACCTTTAATTGTAAAATTTAAGCGGCATTGTCTTTATCAGGCATCACAGCTCTCAGTTAAATTCAATCAACTGCGGTGAATCACAAACTGATCCTAAGGAACAAAACTAAGCTTGTGTTTCTAGCCGTTTGTTGCCTGAGACTTCGTATACAGTATGTGGTCCTTGGTCCGCGAGTCTTCCAAACATAATGTCATATTTTCTTGTTAACAAAGGCGTGCGATTAAATATTGATGGTTTTTTTTTTTCTCAAGCATCTGAGCGGGCCGGATTCCTAATTCCTCTAATTTGATTGGCTAATCATACGCTGTGACCGGTCCAGCTTTTTGCGATACGGCCCACGGACCGGATCTTTTCTTCGCTGCCTAAAATTTGCTCCTGAAAGTTAGCGGTAATGGTCAATCTTTTGCCTTTTTTACACGTCCATCGACGATTAGTCAACGCAAANCCCCCCCCCGCCGTCCATTTAAAAATGAAAATTAAAAGACGTCACTGTCAACCTGTGTTTCAAAAACATTATCAGATACGAACACTGTAGAAGCCGTGAAACTATGTTACACAATAAGAATGATCGTGACCGGTAGAAAATTTTTGGAAAAGTAAATATTTCATAAATTTAAAACTTCCTGTTTGCAGGTGTTCCGTGGGCTTGCGGTCGGCTGTGAACTGTGAAAACCGTTTAAAACTACATGATCGACTCTTTTTCGCAAGAGAACATCACCACTAGGAAGAATTTTTAGAAACAGTCACAGGTAAATTAATACTGAAAAACAATCTACACTGAGAAGTAATTAATTAAAGGACTCCTTGCAAATTTTGTATTTACCTTCCACTGTGACGTCTCCGCTTTCATGATCAGGGAATTGGTTTAACTGACCCAGCAGTTCATTTATTAACAAAAAAAACAAAAAACAGTGAGAGAAAAAGCAGATATAAGTAAAGACATAGCTGAAGAATAATGATTATATCAAAAATATTTTTAAGGAAAGCGCATGATTTGGTCAAGCCAAAAACAAATGCATCCTGATATGCGTGATGACAATGACGATGTTGTCTTAAAAGACGTTTCGCTCCATTTGTTATATACAAACACTTACGGATGTTTTTGTTGATAACGAACTGAATGAGGGATATTGAGTCAGTATTGAGCGATATGGTTGTTTAATTTTGTTTTACCGGCAGGAAAAAATGATTATGCAAACTAAAGAGGAGTGGTAATTTCCATGAGAAAATAGTTCTTAAAATAATGTATGATTGTTATGGTGTTCGCCACAAATTAAAACCACGTCAAGAAAATTCAGTTGCGGTCATAAAAAAAGTGCTTGCCTGTTAATTTGCTTGTTACGAAATTTATTTTCTTTTTCTTCGTTCTTCTTTGTATATTAATACATCTCAATACTTGAGGAAACATGCATATTCAAAGTAGAACCATTAATTGCAACATCATCCGACTAAAGTCTGTTTGTTCAGTCGCTACAAGACCACAGAACGACATTAATTAAAATGGAAAAAATATTAACATTGTGTTCATCACGAATACTACCTTGTAAAAGAAAAATCCCCGACGAGGGGTTTTGCCGTTCTGTTCTGTCTCAGTTACCGCTTCTTGTGCTCAATCTGTAGTCACCATGCTCAGGCTCCGAATCAGATGATGTGAACTACTTTCCCTAACCTTAAAACCAGTTTGATCCACACAATCTTACAGATAAAATAATTGAATCGCCACACATTCAACAGTTGAATAAAACACAATAAAACACAATAAAATACTGACCTAAACGTTTTCCTCTCTTTCGTCGTCAGAGTACGATTGAATCGAAGGCCGTCAAGAGGACGCCTATCTCTGGGGCTAGGTGACGTCGTTCCGAATTCAATCCTTCCAAACTGGCAACATAAACTTATCTGTTTTGCAAAGTTTCCATTATCTAAATAACGTTTTGTTGTCACCTAAAATAATGAGAATACAAGCACTCATTCACATTGAATAAATTAGCTTTACCACCTCACTAATTGCCTCTGCAAACGCAAGTCTGTACATAATTAAATTGAAAATTAAAGGTGGTTACCAATGACAACGCTGGAATAACATTGCTTTTTATGGCTTAACAGTATATTGAATATCTCTTTATCGCTAATGACCTAAGCTTTTTCAAATTGAATGTCATAAATATAACGTGTGTCCAAAAACCGTATGCATTTACGTATTGTTAATGAAATAGATAAACTGAATATTCATATGTCTATAAAAAAATATCAACAACGGAAGCTGGATGATTAATCCTGCGGCTAGTCATTCTTGCTGAGGGAGATAAGAAGATGAGCGCATAATACGAACAAAAAAACTGAAAAACAAACTGTACAGATCTGGAAAGAAAATCAATTTCACTGTCAGACCCTGTTAGTCTTGTCGATGATAAACATATATTTCTGCCATGATTAAAAAAACGACTGTCGAAATTGGCAAACGAGTTTGGAGGTCACCACTTTGAAGCAGCTGTTAGGCAGCGATTTTACAAAATAAATGGACTACAAACTATTTCAGTCAGTGACAATGTAAACATTTTTCTGGGTTCTACGAATAAGAGTCAGTGTAGTGAAACGTGATCAACATATTCATTTCTAAGTCACAATTTAAGCACTTTTTGTAGAATATTTTAAGCTAACAAAATTGTGGAAGAGTGCCATTTTAAGGGTTTATCAAAGCTCAGAATAAAAACAATATTTTTAGGCTAGTAAAAGAGCTGATTGCTTGTCGGTAGACCAATTTTAAAACTATACTAAAGAAAATAACACTACATTCCATACTTGCAACTGCCGGTCGGGGAATTTCTTCTCGCCAGAAAATAACAGCGAAACGACAAAGAATGAACTAAAGATATCACCTACCTAACTAAAGTATAGTTCCTTAAACTGTATTAAGGTCGTTTCATATATAGCGGACCAGTGGACTTTCCAACGACGGTTTCGATGATTAGATAAAACATACTCGGCTTACTAATGCTACGTGAAATAAATACGTTTGTGTTTCCTCTGTAGGAATAGAACTGGAGCCGACTAATTCAAGTGGATGAGAAAAAGGAAAACATCCCACAGTCAATATGAACAGACATTACAAGCAGAATTATAATGCGATTCACGTTTCTCAAAATGGTTAAGCGCCTTTTGAATTACGTTTCTACAATGGTTTAAAATCACGGCTCGCTGTTAAGACCTGTTTATGTTAAGCGTTTTATCACAACTTATTGAGTCTATTCTCGCCGTTTAATTACTAAAACGCATGCTTACAAGCTTTAAAGGCAACACAACACCTCTGGTAACTACAGAATTGAGTATTTTGTTTTTGAAATGTGTCCATTCTTTCGATCTTCTTTAAAAAACCGCAAGCACTCTTATATACCCAATCAAAAGAATAATATACCTTTTAACGTAGGGTGCCCAAAATGCTAATATTAAAAATAAGATTACCAGTACCGTGCTTTATTGATCACGAACACCAAACAGCGACGGAAGTCGTTTTATGTTTTAGGAAGAAAACTTACTCCAGACCACCTTCTCAAGATTCTGATCTATATAAACATTTCTATTTCTTTTTCCTTTAATTACCTGGGGACACTGGACTTAAGAACTAATAATGTGGTATTTTGGTTCCGAAGAGGATGTCACTGGATAGAAAGCATGCAGTTGATTATTCCCCGTCATCATTTAAATTGTTTTCACTTGCGGAGGCTTTTCTCACTGGTGTCACGATTTAATCACGCGTCGTTATGAAATTGCGAAAAAGCTTTTTTAGCTATTTGATCGACAAGGGGTGACTTTTAATATTGAGGTGAAGCGTTTTCATTGATGAATTCACGTCTCTTCTGTTAGAAGACCTGAAAAAGTCAAATTTTCAATGATTGTTTCGTCCTAAATGAAGTTGCAGTACCTTATTTCAGAGATCGAGATGTATGGTAAATGCGTGGATCTAAACAAATTGCGCATTTGCGTAGGAACATTAACTTGCAATTGCCGAATACGGATGAAAAAATATTTCTCAATAGGATCGAACGTGCTAGTTTTTTTGTTTTCAATTATTTGACAATGGCTCCCTTGAATGGTCAGCGGTCCGTCTTAGCGGTTCGCTACTCAGGGCGCGGCTCCACACACAGAATGCTCCTTTCTAGTTAACACATAATAAATTACTATACCGACTTACTAAAATAAGCCACATGAGTGACTATTCCAACAAACCTGACAACTGAATTGCTTTGGACACTCACGAAACCATCTCTGGCTAACCTCTTAAGCCCAGTTCCCTTATGTTGTAAATCACGGAATTAAGTGAGAGTAATTAAAGCGCTGAAAAACGATCAAGGAATTCCTTTCTGAACCTCCAACGCTGGATAGGAGATTGAGCATCACAAGAGATCAAAAAAAAATTATTTCGACTTGGCGGCATTGAGATCCACCACCTCCGGGTTCGATGAGCGTTTCTCCATCGACTGAGGTCAGACGGTAAAGCTTTGGAATAGATTCCATGTTACCGTGCATCTGTTCAGTAATAGATAACAGATGACGTCAAAATGTGGTAAGAACAAGAAAGTGTTGCCTCGTGTGCCACTGAGGTGTTCTTGCCTCATTTTAACGTCTTCTGTGATGAAAAGACGCACGGCAACATCGATTTTATATGGTAAAGAAACAAACAAGGGTATTAATGACGTCACCTATGCGTCTGTTCTCCAATAGATTATAAGTAAGAACCAATCAAAATGCGAGAATAATTTGGTTCATTATATAAACGATGACTGCAAAGATTGTCGCGATTTTCGTGATAAAGATTGGTGGTCTGGATCACTGACTGGTCTGCATGTCACCGCAACGATCATTCAATGATCGGTAGGTCCTGGGTTTAACAGCAACTCATTCATACTTGTTCAAATTTAGGAACGTGATAAACTGCATGCGTAATTAATTAGATCTAATTATGGTCAATTAACTCGCTTTATTATTGGTGGAGGGTACTTTTCACCTTTCATTTAATGCGATGCCTTATTCAAATATCAAACGCTTCCATATCTCCAGTTTCCATGACAGATAATCTTACTTCAATGAACAAGAGTTGTACAAAATTTGTATAAATTTTATGTAGATTGGAGATGAATATGCCTCAGGAGATTTTGACTCTTCGGTGATCATGATCATCTATTCAGCTCAAACAACGACTAAACCAGCAATTAATTACAACGTTACCTCATTTTAACGTCTACAGCATTAAACATTACCTTTGAGCTTTTCCAATAACACGACTATTATGACTTGAATAGATAGAGAGAGGGCGTGAAATACAACAATACCGGGGGAGCTTGTTTTATAACAACATAAAGTCAGTTACCTAATGGCATAGAATTAGGCTTGTGATGTAATCAACCTTAGCGATTCATCGGTAAGATCACTGACCAGTTGTTTCCATATGATGTAACAATCACTGAACCTTTCTTTCAGCGATTCTCGCGGTGGTGATCGTAGCGATCTTATAGGGAAAAATGCTCTTAGCGACAATTGCTCACACCATGGGAACACGTCCAATTTTTATCTCTTTATTTTACATGAGACCAGTCTTTGAACATTACTACATTAGTCGGATGGAAGAAAACTGAAATGGCGCCATCAATTGTAGAGTTATATTTAGACATTTGACGTCATTACTGTTTTCAAAATAATTGGCGCAATGCTTCATACGCAGTCCACAAAGATTGGGGAACGTGATTATTGCAAATACCAACATTTAAATGACGCATTTGAGGTTTGCTTGACCACCTCATATGTGATACACGTAAGACCATTGTCGTAAGGTTTTTCTGCAGGTAATAATATCCCTTTTCCTGACGGGAAGTAACCTATAAGCTACCAAGAAACCGATAAATATCGTGAAAAAACATAAGGGATGTGTTTTAATAAAATAGATATTTTTCGCTCGCGCTGATCAATATGCATACCAACTAGACATATTTGCAGTGAACACCTTTTTTTAATAAATGTCCTGGAAATGAACACTTTAACGCTGATAACAGACGGAATGCTTTCAAGTCTGTACAAACAGGATCACGAGGTATTTGTTTTACGCAATTTCAGAAGAAATTCTTACAGTAACACCTGCTCAATACAGAAGCAGAAGGGATGTTCATCTGGGCACTCCTTGGCCTGAAAACAATACATATTTTGCATTTCCCCATCTAATTGTGTCTTTTTCTTCAACTAATTTTTGATCTTTGATATCTCGATCAGTGTCACCGCTCATCATCAAGGATGCAAGCACACGGATATACTTCGACATTTTTGACACGCAATCAAAAAATAACAAAAGGTAAAGGAAATAATGGTATCGTTTTTCAAACAATACTACGATCAAACATTATCTGTCGCCTGAGAGGAACATTAAAACAAACATCGGCAATAAGAATGATTCAAAACGGTAAACAGGACGTGGTTGGCTACGTCAATGCTACTGCACTTTAACACTGAAACAAAGACGAGGCAATACTGGGTGAAATAGCAAAACAATTTGGAAATGTCGATTGTTATTGAGACGATATTCAAAGTTTTATTTTCTGTTGTGATTGCATCAAATCTTGTCGGTAACTTGTTGGTTGTCTTGGTTGTTTTACTTAACCGCAGAATGCAGACTCCTATGAACTACTTACTTGCAAATCTGGCCCTTGCTGATTTTTTGGTTGGACTTTTCTTGATACCCAGAACACTTCTCAATGATCTATTCACACATCCTGGTGGTTGGTTAGGAGATTTGCTTTGCAAGATGTTGACGCATGCTTGCTTTACTTATCTGGCTGCCGTAACTTCGATGCTGACATTGATGTTTATTGCATGGGAGAGATATTACGCTGTAATGTATCCCCACAGCTCTCGCGGACGAATCAACGCTGGCAAACTTCGTCTGTTGATTGCTGTCTCTTGGCTTGTTGCGTTTGGTTATGCTTCCCTTGAGTTCTGGATCATAAAGTTTGACGAGCAGATGAAGGCTTGTATCTACGATTGGTCAGAAACGTTGTGGAAAACCGATGTCTTTGTGTGGTGTATTGGCCTCAGTTTGGTACCTCTTGGAATCGAGGTAGGCCTGTATGCACGAGTCGTGTACCGCTTGTGGGGGAAAAAGACCCAAACGACAGAAATCTCCCAGCGTTCACTAATGATACAAAGGAAAAGGCTAACAAAAACTGTTCTTCTTATTTCCGTCATAAATATAATCTTACGGCTTCCAATCGATGTTCACTATTTTCTTTCCACCTTCGCTGGTGGCACCTTCACCACGGCGGATTGGTGGAAACCAGTGTCCTTCTCACTCAGCCATTTGATGCTAGTTCTTAACTCTGCAGTAAATCCCTTGATATACGCTCTGCAGGATCGTACGTTCAGGAAACGTATGTGGTGCTTGATTAAGAACGGATGCGTTCGAAGTGGTAGAGTGATGAACACGAGCGTTCTGGAAGCAACTAACTAATTTTGTCTTCGTGAGTATTAGAAGAACATAGAAAGGTTGAGAAGACAAACATTATTAACACGTCGGCTAACATTTCGACTTTTATTTAGCCTTTGATTTATTGTAGATTCATACTGTACATCTCTTTGTTATTTCAAATTTTAGGCATGCAGCTAGGTCGTCTTCTACCTACAACACTGCACTTCGGTTCTGAGGGGAGCTACTTCACGGAAGGCGTATCTTGAAAAAACACTGGCCAGTTATTTCAAGCTTGCCGTTTGTAATCTGTCTTAATCTTGTTCGTAATCATCCTTGTTTCTTTACTTTTTTAATACTTAATCTTCTTTGACGTCATTTTCTCTTAGTACTTTATTATTTGAGATTGCTTTCAATAATTCAGTATATAATATTGTGAAATAGCTCCTTTAAAGTAACAGAAAAAGAGTAGAACAATGCTCCCAAACATTAAAACAATAGTCGTGGTGTAAATAACAAGTGAGCAAAAACAAAATGGTTTGTGAGGAACAATAATATTTCTGAGAGGTAGTACTTCAATGATACTGTAGGGTATATATTGATACATATTTGTCGGAGTTCTCAAACATGCGGATAAGTCATAGAGTTGAGCTTTATTTGATGATGACAATAGAGCCTGTTAAAGCAGAAAACATATCAATTTCTGTGAAGACGATGTTTTAGCAGATCTTCAGTCGTTATTAGTCGTACCATATTAAAGTTTCTAATTGCTGCCTGCATAAGGCAGCCTCCTATTTCTGTCCTGATATCTCGACTTCAGGTTATCTGTTTGTAGCAGTTCCCAGGCCCAAAATTCGTTGATGCAAAGGGAAAGCTTTCGAAGAGATTGATTATTTTGAAGTAGTTTATCTCCTAAAACAACGACGAAAACACCCATTTCGTTCGTGACGAATTTTTAACGTCCAGGTGTTTCAACGTACTCTAGGCAAAGAGCCTGGAAACTAGTTTTTCATCGTCTGATGTAATGCTTGGTTACTAAGTTACGGAAGTTCCAAGAACGCAACAACGAATTTTTTATGCAAAATTCTACCGAAAACCTGTGTTAAATGAAGAAATATTTGTTAACAAATACTGGAGCAAGCGGGCATGATGTTACGTTTATTCTATTAAAGAGCTTTAAAATAAATTGTGGGTAAAACTTTGAAGTGCTTTTCGTTTCACGTTGTTCGGTACATTGGAAAGGCTTTATTGTCAATTTTGTTAACTGTTAAAATTTCCACATAATCCAGTGTGTTTTCCGCATTATCGACGCATTTCTCCGCATTCTCCTCCTCGAAAATGTCAGATGGCAATTATTTACCTCTTGCACTGTCTTACTTATTCCTCTTGGTGGCATCTAAAGTATACCAACTTTGGACCCCTAGGTGTAGGTGCAGTGGCCTCATGGTTAGTGCTCTCGTACCCATGTGATATCTTTATGTCTCATCCCCACCATCTTTCTACATGGGGCAGCAATTCAATTCCAATATAGAACCCCTAATTAGTTTGGTTAACAGCAACTGGATATTCTAAATCAACTGCCACTGCTGCTGTTGGAACACTGGATAAGCATTGGTTGGCTAGGGGTTCCATATTATTTTTCGACAATTCCAAGGAAAAAATATATTTATTTTAGGTGTGACTTCCTGGCTGGCTCTGGCTGCCTGCTTGCATGGAACAATTTGTTGGGAAGTTTTAATAGTCAATTAAAATCACTATATATATGTCTATAGTTTGAACATTTTTATCATTCTTCAGTACCCCCAATAGTGTCAAAATTAGCAAAAGCCGCTCCCTTGCGGCATGTCTATGCGGAATACCCTTGTTGCACACTTTTCACAAACACTAACTAGAACTGAGTGTCAATCACATACTAAGCGGCCAGTCCCTTAGCATGTAAGATTAGGGATGACGTTATAAAAAGTCTTCAGAAATACACAAAAACAGCAGTAATAAAACCTCCACGAAAATAAAAAATAACCACGATAACAAACTTGCATGAAAATGGCAAATTTTGCACGTGATCGGAGGAAAGAGGAGGTCACAAGTTTAACTAACAATAAACTTCTCCCTTGAAGTAATGTACACACATACAGACTAAGTTACTTTCGTCATAGGTTTATTAAATTTTTTGCTTTGCTTCGTCTTGTTTTTGCGTTTGTTATTTTTCCCTTTAAGTCATTTAACATTTTAAATTGTTTGCAAATTTCCTTTGTGTTTTCTTTCATTTGTGCTCGCTGTTTATTAATAAATCGTGCGAACCTTTGTTATACAGTGAAACTGTATTAAGCGGGCACTCTCTATTAAGTGGACACCAGCTTGAGTCTCAAAATTTTCCTCCTACATTTACTGTAAAATAAACCTGCATTCAGTGGACACCTCTGTTAAGCGGACGTGGACACCAATTGCACAAAACCTGTATTCAGCGGACACTTCAAGGGCTTTTTACTTCTAAAAGCTCAGTTCAGACTCCTTTAACAATGTTCAGCGAGATCGTTTCAAAGCTAAGTGGATTACACCAGATTGATGCACTGACTGACTGGACATTGTGCTATCCTTACACTGTGTTACACTGAGTTACAAAAGGTTAAATAATTAACCATGATCATTGCACAGTATATTAGAACCTGCTTTGAGCGGACACCCTGCATTAAGCGGACACTAGTGAGGGTCCCAAGGGTGTCCGCTTAATACAGGTTTCACTGTATATGGTTTTTTGGCATTTTTGGACCCCACTGACGGAGGGTGGTTGATTTACGATTTAATTTCAATAGCAGGTGTAATCAACGTTTTCACTAAAAGCCGCTTGGAACTGGTAAGACGCGGTCCTCAGGGACTCCTTGGTTTCTCTTCAACTATTTCTTCGCCGTTTTTTTCCTGTCGTTGCGACTGTCTCTCCCTCCCACTGGCTCCCTCTGGGTATGTGAAGACAAACAACTACCAAACATTGCTTTGACATGCAAAATATTTTCCTTTTACTTTACTTTTGTGTATTTCGTATCTCTGACATTGACGCATCAACTTTAAAAATAAGTGTTACAACTTTTGATTTTCAGTTTCGGAGCCTGGCAACTTCCGCGGAAAATGTTACGAAGAAGGAACATCAAAACGAAACTTTCACAACTGTTCGCTAGCGATCGAGAAGATGAGAACTTTCGATAAACGTAACTGTTAACCGTTGACAGTTCTGCCTCTTACATGGAGCGACTTCACATCCCATTGTTGCATCGCATCATTAGTTTTCTCCATCCAGAAGATATAGTACGTTTAGGTAGGACATCGCGACGGATGCATGCAATGATGCCCGAAGTTACTCTAATCACAGAATTGTGGAAAGGGCCATCCTTTAACATGTCAAGTGCTGGCTGTGGAGACTGCCATCGTGAATTGTACTTTGACGGACCGACTCTTCCTAGCACCGTCAAGGACATGCAACTTTCCGTGGTGTGGCGAGACAAGGGCCATGGAAACAGAAAAGGCCAATTGTTCATAAAATTAATGCGACCCACTGCCAATGGGAAACCAAAGCAGATTGCAGAATACCCAAGCTTGTTCGGCTTTGCAGAGTACCATAAAACAAAAGCATATAAAGCGATTCGCCGCTCGGATCATCCTGTCGTAGCCGAAGCCAAGGCGGGAGATTTTTACAGGTTTATGAAAGACAGCGGAGAGACTCACGGACTGAAGGTGAAAAACTTCCAAGTCCAAGCTACCGTATACACAGTAGTGTATTAGAAGAGTAACCTATTGAGAAGAATTCTGCTAGAGTAAATTTTCCTACTGTTGCTTCATTAAAAGAGTGGATTTTTTTTGGACTTGGGGGCACGGTGATCTCCTTGCCCGAAATCAAAATTACTCAATGCTCGAATGTGTGAATGTTGAAATCGGGATACGAGCGCACTAAAATTGCAGTAGAAACAAACAAGTTCACAATTCTTCCGCCTAACGAAACTGTTATCGTTCAAACTGGAGGTTAGGAGATGGGGGAATGCAATAATTCTCCCAGGAGAGCCATAGGATACACCTCTCTACCATCCTCTTTACAAACACCTACAATGGCCACATCTCTTCACCGGCCACCCCTCCCCAACGGCAAAGGCCCCTAAAGCAAGTCCCAACTGCCAAAATAACCTCTCGACAATGGGCGGTAAAACAACAATTGACGGATAATCCAAAACCCCATTTTTTAACTTGGAAAATAAGTTATTTTCCAAGCTGTGGGAAAGGAAAATATTATTTTCCAAGTTGTAGGTATAGATGAGAGATTCAATCGATC